GGCAAACCTAACAAAAGAAAAGAGGGAGAAGACACAAATAACATGCATTAGAAACCACATGGCCCATGTCACAACGGAACCAAAGGAAATCAAAAGGATAATAACAGAATACTATGAAGAGTAGTACTCGAACAAATTTGAAAACTGAGAAGAAATGGATACATTTTTAGATAAATACGACCTACCTAAACTTACACACAGTGAAGTAGGAAACCTGAACAGACCCATAATGAAGAAATTGATCATGTCATCAAAAAACTCCCAACCAAAAGAAGTCCAGGCCCAGATGGCTTCACTGGTAAGCTCAACCAAGCATTCAGGGAAGAGCTGTCACCAATTCTACTCAAATTATTCCAGAAGATAGAGGAGGATGGAAAACTTTCTAATACATTTTATGAAGCAAGTATAACGCTTATACCAAAACCAGGAAAGGACGTCATTAAGAAAGAAACTTATAGACCAATAGCCCTCATGAATATAGACAAAATCCTAGCCAACAGAATCCAGCAGCACATCAAAAAGATAATACATCATGATCAAGTGGGATACCTATCAGGGATGCAAGGATGGTTCAACATTAGAAAAACGATTAACGTAATCCACCATACAAATAAGAAGAAAGAAATGAACCACATGATCATATCGATTGATGCAGAAAAGGCATTTGACCAATTCCAACATCCATTCCTGATAAAAACACTCAACCAAGTAGGAGTTGAAGGGAAATTCCTCAACATAATTAAGAGCATCTATACAAAACCAACAAGCTACATTATTCTCCATGGAGAGAAACTTCTCTCGGCGAACAGGAACCAGACAAGGATGCCCTTTTTTACCACTCCTATTCAATTTGTTCTGGAAGTCTTAGCAAGAGCTATATGGCAAGACAGGGAAAGTAAAGGCATCCAAATTGGCAAAGAGGATGTAAAACTCTCCCTATTTGCAGACACTATGATCCTATACATAGAAAATCCCAAAGATTCAGTAAAAAGGCTACTAGACATCATTGATTCAGCAAAGTGGCAGGATATAAGATCATGATGCGAAAATCAGTTGGATTCCTCTATAACAAAAATGGCAGTGCTGAAAAGGACATTAGGAAAGCAATATGATTTTAAAAAGCTGCCTAAAGAATGAAATATCTAGGAATAAATGTAACCAGAGAAACAAAGGACTTATACAACGAAAACTAGAAAACACTACTCCAAGAAACCAAAAGGGACTTACAAAAATGGAAGAACGTGCCATGCTCCTGGATAGGAAAACTTAACATTGTGAAAATGTCAATACTGCCCAAAGCAATTTACACATATAATGCAATCCCAATCCAGACCAGATTCCAACGACATTCTTCAAAGAGATGGAAAAACCAATTTCAGACTTTATATGGGATGGAAAGAGACCCAGGGTAAGCAAAGCCCTGCTTAAGAAGAAGAATAAGGTTGGAAACCTTTCACTCCCCAACTTCAAAATTTACTACACGGCTACAGTGGTCAAAACAGCTTGGTACTGGTACAATGAAAGGTACATAGATCAATGGAACAGAA